TCATTAGAACAATAAGAAGAGTTAATCTCGAGATGACGATAACTTCAATAACGTTAACTATCGTCTTCTCTCTTAACTTCCGTCTTCCCTCCATTCACTCGACCGGAATCAAATTCGATTTTAAGAATCAGAAGTCCTGCATCCTTCGGCGAAAACGCACGTTTGGCTCGTTCATGGACGTGTTCATTCGACTAATCTCGTTTTTCCACGTGCGCTGTAAGAAATGAGGCCGCGACCAAGGCGGAAGTAACGTAACTGATGTGAACCTGGCAAACAACCTGATAAAAAAAAATTTTCAATATGGTTCGATTGTACTTCATTTGTATCTGTTTGTACTTCTTTTTGTATCGTTTGTACCTCAAAGAATAAAAAGATAGGGGGAAGGAGAAAAATAGTCAGCAAGCAAGTATAAGATATCCGAAAACGGCCAACGTCATTCGAAAGAGAATCGTTTGTACCCGTTTGTACCTCAAAGGAACCGGATGTACAGGATCTTCGAAAAACGTCCAAGAGGTACTTTCGCCAATTTTGGAGATATTGCAAAACGGCCAACGCCATTCGGAAGAGAATCATTTGTACCCGTTTGTATCTCCCTTCAAATCGTTTGTACCTCAAAGGGTACAAACCGGAAGTATGTAAGTAACTTTCCGACATATTTTGAAGATCCTGTACTTCCGGTCCCTCTGAGGTACAAACGATTTGAAGAAAGATACAAACGAGTACAAACGATTCTCTCTCGAATGGCGTTGGTCGTTTTGCGATATCTCAAAAATCGGTGAAAGTACCTCTTCGACGTTTTTTGAAGATCCTATACTTCCGGTTCCTTTGAGGTACAGACGGTTTGAAAAGAGGTACAAACGGGTACAAACGATTCTCTCTCGAATGGCGTAAGCCATTTTGCGATATCCAAAAAATTGGCGAAAGTACCTCTTGGACGTTTCTTGAAGATCCTGTACTTCCGGTTCCTTTGAGGTACAAACGATTTGAAGGGAGGTACAAACGGGTACAAACGATTCTCTTTCGAATGGCGTTAGCCGTTTTGCGATATCTCCAAAATTGGTGAAAGTACCTCTTGGATGTCTTTTGAAGATCCTGTACTTCCAGTTCCTTTGAGGTACAAACGATTTGAAAAGAGATACAAACGATTCTCTCTCGAATGGCGTTGGCCGTTTTGCGATATCTTATGCTTGTTTGCTGGCCATTTTCCCCCTCCCCCTATCTTTTTATCTTCCGAGGTACAAACGAAACAAAGAAGTGGTACAAACAGGTACAAACGAAGTACAATCGAACCGTGTAGCGAATTCTTTTTTTTTTTATCAAGTTGTTCGCCAGGTCCACATCGGTAGTAACGTATCGTGCGTTCCTTTGATTCGCAAAGCCTGCTCGTTGTGAGCAACGACGCACCCGATATTTCTTACGAGTAACTGACACAACCGAGTTGATCGCGAAAGGTCAGATTATCATCCGCGGGTCGAGGCCGAAAGCCATCGGGGACGAAAGACGACCGCGCGTCGCTCGACTTTGAGACGGAAGAATGCAGGTACCAGCGGAATTGCATAAACACACCTGGACGATCAGTCCGTCGTCAACTGCAGCTTTGTTTTTTATTGCTGAGCTACTGACTGCATTGGCAACTTGCAAGAGTTGTTCCGTCTTCTTTTCTCCAACGAGTCTCGAATATGTACTCGTCCGGGAAAAAAGAAATCATGTATGAATCTTGTTCACGTGCGACCATATATAGGGTGTCCCAGATCTTTTGGAAACGTAAAACTGCAAAGATCAATCGGATCAAACTGGGAAGAAAAGTCAAGTACTATTTTGTAAAAATCGCAATAGTTATTAAGTTATTAATGGACTACTTTTGTAATCGATAACTTGAAAATTTGCGTACTTATTTGCAAAATGATAAGGGACTTTCTTATTCAAAGTAATCTAATCTACAATTATATGACGGCTATTGTGCCTAGTGACAGGTTCAAGTTCAGGTTCAAAGTTCAATGTACTCATTTATCGTCAAACACAATCGTTAAACACAGTCGTCATATAATTGTAAATTAGTTCATTCTGAACAAAAGTCTTTTACCATTTTGCAAATAAGTGCAAATAAATAAATTTTCAAGTTATCAATTAAAAGAGCTTCTAGATGTAATCATTTTCAATTATTAATAACTTAATAACTATTGCGATTTTTGTAAAATAGCACATGATTCTTCTTCTCAATTTAATTTGATTAATTTTCACAATTTTTCATTTCGAAAAGATCCCGGACACCCTGTATAATTATATATATGTCCATAAAAAAATTCTGTTGTATATATAAATATAGTCGCGAAGTAAATGCTTATGTTTCTGGCGACATATGATGTCAGTATTCATTCGAATAAAACTATTTCTTCTCCTGTTTCCTTAGGATCATTCTTTTTCCGCGTAGAAAATATATAGGGTGTACCAGAAAAATAGATACCTCGAGTTACTTGAAGGGATAACGTTTTCGAAAAAAATAATAAATAGAAAAGTTTTAGGGTTTGGAAATGGGCATCCGGCGGTGAACTTGAATTTGATCTAGGAATCAAATTTTGAAGTTAAGTCAAGGTCAACTTTAAAATCATAAACGGAACCCTCTATTTTTTATAACCTTTGTCTGCCAATTAAATTAAACGTTTTCTATTTAAAAAAATTTTTATTTGCTTAATATTTCTTGAGATATTTAGATAAAATTTGATAACTTTTTCAATATTCAATATTTGGCTTACGATATCTCGGTAATTATTTATTGGAAGAAAAAGCGGTACTAGACTTTTTTACTCTACTTTGATTTCAAGGATATACTTAGAATAGTATCCTAAGTTTTGTTAACTTGTTGACTTTTGGAAATTTCAAAAGCATCAAGTTAGGATCAAGTAACAAAAATTAGGACGTTATTGTAACAGCATAATCTTAAGATAAGAAATAGAGTAAAAAAGTCTAATGCCGCTTTTTCTTTCGATAAATAGTTATCAAAATAGTTGTCGAGATATAAGTCAAATATTGAAAAAGTTATCAAGTTCTCCTTAAATATCTCAAAAATTATTATGCAAATAAAAAAATGTTTCAGATAAAAGTTATTCAGATTAATTGGTAAAAAAAGATGATATAATAAGAAATTGAGATTTCTATTAAAGAAAAGTGATGCTCAGTGAATATCTCAAAAGTGAAACCACCTGTAAACAAAATGATATTGCGACCTTATGCCTTCCTTCAAATCAAACAACTTTTGTCTGAAATAGTTTTTCATCCGATTACTTTCTGTAATGTTAATCGGGATGCACAATTAAAATGGAACACCCTATATATATTAGAAACTATATGCGGTCCCTATATACCCGCAAATATAAATATTACTCAAAACTGCGTCCTGTGTCTCAAACTATTTCTGTACTTTTAATGTTTTTCAAGATATTGGAGTGAATAAATTAAAATGAGCCAACCTGTATACAGGGTGTCCTTTAATTTATTACCTCTTGTAACTTTGCAGAAAATGGTCGTAGAGAAAAATGTTTCAGACAAAAGTTGTTAAAATTAATTGGTAGAAAAAGATAATATAATAATAAATTGAGATTTTCATTTAAGGAAAGTAATGATAGGTGAATATCTCGAAAGTGGCGCCATCTGTAAATAAACCGATATAGTCGTTTTATATTCTCCTTGAAACTATGCAACTTTTGTCTGAAACGTTTTTCTCTACGACCGCTCCCTGTAAAGTTATGAGAAGTAATAAATTAAAATTGGACATCTTGTATATATTGTTCTTCCACGTGCGACATATATAATTATATTTAATCATATATGATCTTTTCTTCCCGGGCGTACATGTACGCGTAATAGACTCGTTTCTCTTCGGGTTTCGGAAGAATGTACACCAGTTCAGCAATAGAAAATAAACCTGTTATCTGCCGTCGTCGCTGTTATCTCTTACTACCGTCGCACCTGCGCGTGACTCGTCATGCATTTTTTCTCTTTTTTCCATCGTCTCGCGCGCTGATAAGGCCCGTTTAATTCACGGTCGCGACAATAGCGTCCGTGAAGAGCGTCGAACGTCGAGCAAAGAGCACGTCGTCGTCCGCTCTTCATTCGCGATCTCCGCGTGCGTGTCCGAAGGAAACTCCGGAGGAATCGGCCGCTCAGGAGCGAACCGTCGCCGGCTGGAGCAGCCAGTGCGAATATAATCGGTAAAATTAGAACTCTCGTCGGCGCGCTAATCAGCGTTTAAAGTAGGACGTCTCTTTTTTAGAAACACCCCTGAGGCGCTTTCAAATCACTGAATTGCTAGACCGAGCAGTCTGCGATTTCTCCGAAACATTTCCCGAATTTACGCGACGATGCGTAACCGATTTTGTACCATTCAACGGACGTTGGGAGAAAATCCAAGAAGCAGATAGCCGTGACGTTTCACTACTTTGAAAGCCGACATTTTCATCAGGAAAATAAGCCGCGTCGATCGCCGGTAATTGCAGACGTTGCCGCTCGTCTCCGAAGTTTCCACCTAAGAGTCCGCTGATCGACGTGATTCACGTCTTTGCCCGACGTCTCCGCGGCCTTCATGACGGCCTGATGCCTCCCGAAGAGTACACCTCCCAGTGAACGTTTCCGCAAGACCCACAATGCCCACATTCGCAAGCGTGCCAGACGAAGAGAAGTCGCGTCGGGAAGGACGAAGCTGAAGAACGGCCGCTCTCTCCGGCGCGAAACAGTCCTGAAGAAAGCGGCGGTCCTCCGCGGCCAGCACGCTGCTGCGCGCTGAAACGAGAAGCCGGGGAGCTCCTACGTTGCGCGTACTTCCGCTTCGTTCATCCGGAATTCGCTCGCGTCCCTCGCTCGGGGAGCGGGCCCGCGAATGAAAACGACAGCGCGCGCGCGCGGGAGGAGGGGGTCCCCGGCGCCGGGCCCTCCTGAGACTTCCGTCGCGCAGGAGCAGCGTGCCGGACAAGGCCCGGCCGACGAGTCCCGATTGAGAAACGTACCTGTTGCGAGCAACGAGAGACACGACGCGAGCGGCTATACGTCGGCACGCTCCATTAAGAGGCACTACACTGCACTTCCGACGCGATGTACAGCTCGCTTCTCATGTCCGGTCCCTGCCCGGGGATCGGCTTTGAGCGGGACGACGACGACGACGACGGCGATGATGATGATGATGATGCTGCTGAAGAGGAGGATTCGGTCGGGCGCGCGGCGAGGTGAAGCCGAGGGTCACGGCGGCGAGCCGTGGCGACTTGGAGAGCCGTGGCCACGAAGAGCAGTCGTTCCGGAGGATGGGCCACGGTGAACCGGCACATTAACACGTCCGCTCGGCGAGCTTCGGTTCGGATCGGGTGTGCCAGGTGGAAGCTGCTGGCCGCCAGCGGAGGAGGTGGTAAGGCCGCGCGCGCTTCGTGACTGCTCTCCCGGCTTCCCCACCGAAAGGACGAAGGACGGACGGACGGACGGGCGGATGGACGGACAATCACTCGTTCGCCGAGGGGAGCGACCAAGGCAGGCAGGCAGGCAGGCACGTACGTCGTACACGACCAAGTGTGACCGAGCGACTGCCGGCAGTGCCGGCTCTCGCCGCGCCGCTGCCGTGTTTCCTCCGCGCCCGGCCGCTGGTCTCCGCCAGGTAACAGCGAAGCGAGAAGCGTATCGGTGTGTGTGTGTGTGTGTGGATGTGTCGCGTGGAGAACCTTCGCGGCCGCAACCTGCGGGCTCGCCCGTCTCGTCTGCGCCGACCTGTTGCGATCAGATCGCGATATCGGCGGCGACCTATCTTGTCGACGGCGCGTCGTCTCAGGTGCGTCCAGGGGCTCTTGAGGCTCCTGAGGAAGTCGGGCTTGCCTCGGGGTATCGAGGACTCCCGGGTGTTCGAAAGATAAGGAGGACAAATTTCGTGGTATTGTTTTTTTCTCTCTCTCTCTCTCTCTCTCTCTCTCTCTCTCTCTCTCTCTCTCTCTCTCTCTCTCTCTCTCTCTTTCTCTTCGTTGATTAGGTGATCAGGTGGTTGACGCCACGCTGCTTTCTGCTCAGCTGAGGTTCCAATTAGCAAGGATGAGGTTAACAGAGATGATTTCCCGGTTGATTTCCCACCGGCTATTTATTGAATTTGTTGAATGTACCCTAGTAGCACACTTCATTGGCGTTACATTGGCTACGGTGATATAAATTAGGGTTACATTGGCCCAGTGTATCCCAATATATAGATTAGATATTGGTCCAATATTATTAATATCTAACCAATATTGGGCCAATATTGATTAGATATCAAATTACAAGATATCGCCAATATTGCATAGCATTGTTATATCAATATTGACTTACATATATTGGGGCTACATTGGCCCAATGTATCCCAATATGCAACTAATATTAGTTAGACATTAAATTACAATATATCGCCAATATTGCATAGCATTGTTATACCAATATTGACTTGCATTGGGGTTACATTGGCCAATATTGGGGGCCCAATTTGTAGCCAATATTGGCCTAACAATATGTGCTACTACCCAGACAGCACATGGATGTCCAATGGACATCCGTTATATGTCCATTTTTTTTACAAAAGACGTCCATAGGACGTACGTTTGTCACAACTTCGGACATACTAGGTGCGCAACTAAGTTTCCGGGTTTCACACATGGATGGCGCTAACGACATATGTAATCAACATACATGTCTGAAGTTGTGTTTTTTTATAGCTTGGACATCTGTTAACAATAACTAGTCGTAATACTAACACATATCGCAACGCAAGAATATTTTTTCTAACAACGAAGATGTCGAGTTTTATGCCAAATAAACAGCATTTGCGGAAAGCTTTGCCTTTTTGCTTTAACTTGAAAAAAAATACAGCTGAAACACGTCGTTTGCTTGAGAAGGCCTACGGCGAACATGCATCATTGAAAACTACCTGTGAAGATTGGTTTAAACGCTTCAGAAGTGGCGATTTCGACACTGAGGACAAGGAGCGCTCCGGAAGACCAAAAACAATTGAGAACGCCGATCTGCAAGCGTTATTGGATGAAGATACGCAAACATAAGATCAACTTGCGGAGGCATTAAACATGACTCGCCAAGGTATTTCCAAACGTTTACATGCCATGGGAAAAATTCAAAAGGAAGGAAAATGAGTGCCGCATGAGTTGACTGAGAGACAGATGGAAAATCGAAGAGCCACTTCTGAAATTTTGCTTTTGCGGCATGAAAGAAAGAGTTTCCTGCATCGAATTGTCACTGGCGATGAGAAGTGGATATATTTCGAGAATCCCAAACGCAGAAAATCGTGGCTTTTACCTGGCGAAGCATCAACATCGACGGCACGGCCAAATCGCTTCGGAAAGAAGACAATGCTCTGCATTTGGTAGGACCAGAAAGGAATTGTGTACTATAAGCTGCTGAAACTGGGCAAAACTGTCAATGGGCTACCGACAACAAATGGTCAATTTGAACCATGCATTGCTCGAAAAACGGCCAGAATGGGACAAGAGATACAAACGAGTGATATTATAGCGCGACAACGCTCCGTGCCATCGCACTTCCATCGTCCAGGACACCATCAAAACGCTGAAATGGGATCTGCTACCGCACCCGCCGTATTCGCCAGACCTGGCCCCTTCCAATTATCACTTGTTCCGGTCGATGGCGCATGGCTTGGCTGGGCAACACTTGGCCAATTTCGAAGAAGTGCAAAATTGATTGGATGAATGGTTTCGGTCCAAAGACGCGTCGTTTTATCGTCGTGGTATTCATGTATTGCCAGAGAGATGGCAAAAATGTGTAGCTAGCGAGGGACGATACTTTGAATAAACCATTTTTTGTATTTCTCTTGAAATTTTCCATTTTTCATTGATCAAAAAAACCCAGAAACTTAGTTGCGTACCTAATAGGACGTCCGATGGACGTACATCGGACGTCCTACAGGTCCGATGTCGAATAAGGACATCCTTGTTACGTCCAATTTATGTCCACGGACGTAAATCGGACATACGGACATAAATTAGACGTGAAACGTACATCCATTGGATGTCCGGTGCTGTCTGGGTAGGGTAGTTATGTAGTTCCTGAGGAAGTTGGGACGGGCTTACAGAGACGGTTGAGGAGGAATCCCACGTGCTCGAAAGACAAGAGATGACTCTGTAGGAACTTCGTGGAATTCTCTCTCTTCGTTGATTAGGTAATCGGATGATTAACGCGCTGATCCTCATCGATCGTTTCGGAGCTCAATTTCAGTCCTAATTGGCAAGGATGCGGTAAACAAATGCAATTATCGCGAAGCATATATCCGTTAGCTCGTTTCATTGGCTCCTCATTGGCTGTATGTTCAATTTGTTGCACGCAATTGATTATGTTTCACAACGTAAATTAGTAAAATTAGTAAGATGCGTGTAGATTAGCAAGATTATGGTGCTGATTACTATGACAATCAATGTGTAAGGCAAAATCCTCATGTTCCGTTTTTAGATAGACGGGAGTCCGTCAATCTTTTGCCGAATTTTCTTTTAACAGGAACGATTAAGGTGATGAATACTATGAATATTTCAATACAAAAGCATTAGAGAATATCTTGACGCACGATTAACGGAATCCTGTCTACTGCTGGCTAAATGGACAGTGAGAATCCAACCTTAACTCCTGCCGCGGCCATCTTGAATTACACAGTCTGTCCCAGATACGATGAGACTGGTTCCATCAAAGTTCTTAGCGCAGCGATATCTATGAGTGAATGATGGTAGGTGAATGTTCTACCTTTCATCTACTTAACCTCAAAATTTGAGCGAATTCGGTTGATATTTCACTGTGGTTTGACATTTTATGTAAAGTCACTTTGTGTACGTTGGTCGAAAAACCAATTTTTAAATTGGGTAAAAGTGGTGCAGAAACGTACGAAACGCTAAAAAATGTGTACGGGGATGAATACATGTCCCGTGCACAGGTTTTCCGTTGGTTTGGCCGATTCCGTGACGGTCGTGAGGACCTTGCAGACGATGACCGAGCACCGCCGCCAAAAACCACTCGCAATGAAGAAAACATCGAGAAAGTCAAAGAAATTCTTCGAAGCGACCGCTGTGTGTCTGCCCAGATATTATCTGGGAGTTCTACAACGATTGTGGGCCAGAATTCGACGAGTTCGACCGGAATATCGAGAGCCAGGCAGTTAGTTTTTGTTGCACGATAATGCACCATCGCACAAAGCCATCATGGTACGTGAATTCTTGACCAAAAAAACATAATTGTTATCGATCATCCACTGTATTTACCTGATTTGGCTCCGTGCGACTTCTGGCTATTTCCCAAACTGAAATTGGCGATGAAAGGAAATCGTTTCGATACCATCCCGGACATCCAAAAGACTTCGACCACCATACTAAAGGCCATTCCAGCCGATGAGTATAAAAAATGTTTAGAAAAATTTGTTGAACGTTTCCAGCGCTGTATTGACTCAGAAGGAGACTATTTTGAATAAACAAGAATAAGAAATCAAAATAATAAACTCTTTGTATATTTTTTAGACCAGTCTCATTGGATCTGGGATCTACAGACTGTGTATGTCAGAAGCGAGAATATATTCTAAAAATGTTCGCAAAATACATTGAAATAAACAGATGTTTACAAAATGGTAGTTGCATTTGGTTGGATAGATCTGTAAAATAGTTCGAATATTTTTTTTATTTTAACAATCACTAAATAGCTATAAAATTAATAAGACATTAGTCTCAAGAATATATTGTTATAATAGCGCCCTGACTTTTGTTAATTTGATGATTTTGAAATTTTCAAAGATCGATAAGTTATTAACAAAAGTCAGGGCGTTATTGTAACAATATATTCTTGAGACCAAATAGAGTAAAAAAGTCTATTTTTCCTTTCGACAAATAGCGATAAATCGTAAGTTAAATATTGAAAAAGTTACCAAGTTTCCTCTAAGTATGTCAAAAATGTCAAGCAAGTAAAACAATGTTTTAGACAAAAGTTGATAAAATTAATTGGTAAAAAAAGATGATATAATAAAAAATTGGAGTTTCCATCTAAGAAAAGTAATGATGGGTGAATATTCGAATCGAAAGTGGCGCCATCTGTAAACGAAATGACATAGTTGTTTTATGTCCTTGTTGAAACTATACAACTTTTGTCTGAAACGTTTCTTGGTATCTTTCATATTTTTCGAGATTTTTTCCTAGCTCATTCAAAATGGGACACCCTGTATATCTTAATAATCAAACGTTACTTGCGAGGATTTTTAGCACGCATTTTCTCGCTCCTGACGTTATCAATTAAAAGTTATACGATGAGAAATTCAGAATTTCAAAGGTGGTTAGTCAGTTTAAAACCGAATCCCCAATATTCATCTAGCGGCCGACAAGAATCCGTCAACTTCACGAGATTGTAATTCGATACTTTTTCATGGAGGAGAAACAAGTCTGCAAGACCGTGCACAGCTGTTTACATTGAAAATATATTTTCATTTTATATCAATCCGACGTGACTTGAATACATACACATAGCTTATATATCCTTCCTTGTTCTTTTTTCTTTTTTTTTTTTACACTCTTCGTAAGTTACATGTGTTTCGATAGCGAGTGGCAACGACGCAGCGCGTTAGTTCAACATTTTTTTGCTCATTTGTCACACTTTACACGTCTCGTACACAATTATTCGGATGTTCGAGTATTTGTCCGATGTAAACGGTGTAGTTGTTGTTTGGTCAAGTACCGACGTAATGTTTACAATAAGAAGCACATACATGGGTGTGTGTATATGTGTTAGGTGTAAGTATGTGTATGTATGTTAGGTGTATATTTGTGTGTGTTATCTGGATGTAGATATACTTTTCTTTAGCAACATACAAAATGCGACAGTAGTACTTGTAGTGTTCTCTAATCGAGCTTACAAACATACGGTACACTCGTATTATATAATTTTACTCGGGCCGTGCAAATTGCATTTGCACGTGCGCCTACTCAAAATGCAGGATTTACTCCGCGAATAAATCCGGAGCGCATTTTGATAACAAGGGTGTGATTTCTTCCGCTCGACACAAATTGTCTCGTCCTCTCTTGAACGCATGCGCGCACGAAATCGCAGTGCAGAAATCACGACGAAGGAATCACCGCCATAGAATAATTACACAGCTTCAGGTACAAGATATGCATTTTTTTTTATGTACATCGACTGAGAGGGTAGAGAACTGATTAGAACGATTGCGTATTCCCGTGGTGTACATACATGAGATAGATACAGAAAGAGAGAGAGAGAGAGAGAGAGAGAGAGAGAGAGAGAGAGAGAGAGAGAGAGAGAGAGAGAGAAAGAGAGAGAGAGAGAGAGAGAGAAAGTTCACTCTTATTTCCTTTCTGACATTACAAAAGTTATCCACCTACGAGTATTCTAAGTTCTATGGAAGCTCATTATCACTAACGATTTTATCAATGTCCGTGACTGCTGAGAACTCTTGGATGGCTCTATAAATCCTGTTTACATTCTGTCGGGAAACAAGTCGTAGATGTAATTCCGTTGCGATCGTACACGTAGGAAACCGTAGCTTTCGGGATGAATTAATTTTGCATAGCTTGTACCTATTTATTGTACTTGAGAAGACTTCGGTAGTCAAGGAAGTGATCGATATTGTTAACAGTGGATACTCCCTTATCTGGCTCGTTCTCGCATAAAACAGTATATAATAATATTAAACAATCGTAAGTTACAACAAATGTAGGACTAGGACTTAGTTGAAAGTATATCGCTACTTGAATCGATTTAAAGTATAGTATAGTTAAGATAGTATATGTATATTCAAGTTTTCATTATATAGCTCAGAAAATAACGTAGATACGAATGACCGAAAACAGGGGGAAAGAAGAGAAATATCCGAGACTATTAAAATATTTGCTTATTTCTAATATATAGGATAAAACACATTAAAATATTCGATGCTTATATCACTAGCGATTATTAAACTCTTGGTTTTCTTGCCGACAGAAATATACAGGGTGAGCTACCTAAAACACGCCGGCTGAATAACTTTGAAAATATGCAAGATAGAAAAGAAAAGAAAATGCAGAAGTAGTAGAATTTCAAGTGATGCATCACATAGCAATATTAGTTGAACCGCGTCATCAAGGTTACGGGCACATTTTGAATTTTTTTAAAAACTTCCCTTTTTATTTTTCTACCTATTAATTTGAACAACTCTTGTCTGGAACATTTTTTTATTTGCTTAATATTTTTGAGATATTTAAGAAAAACTTGTTCAACATTTAACTTACGATATCTTGCTAACTATTTGTCTAAAGAAAAAATAATACTAGATATTTTTACTCTATTTTTCTAGAGTATATTGTTACAATATTGCTCTAACTTTTGTTAATTTGATTTGGAAATTTCTGAAGATCATCAAGTTAACAAAAGTTAAGGCACTATTGCAACAGCATATTCTTCAGACCAAATAGAATAAAAAAGTCTAGTATTATTTTTTTCCGACAAATAATTACCGAGATATCATAAACCAAATATTGAAAAAATTAACAAATTTTATCTAAATATCTCAAAAAATATTAGGCAAATAAAAAAAGTTTTCAAAAGACAATAGTTGTTCAAATTAATTGACAGAAAAGGATGATATAATAAAAAACGGGGGTTTCCATTAAAAAAATTCAAGATAACCTTTTTGTAACTTTGATGACGCTGTTCAAGGTCATTTTAATATTACTATGTATCACTTGAAACCCTACAATTTCTACAACTTCTGTATTTAACATTTTTTCTATCTTGCATATATTCAAAGTGTCCTATTTTAGATGCCTCACTCTATATACAGGGTGTCCCATTTAACCTGACAAATCGTAATATCTGGAAAACTACATGTCGGATCAAAAAAAGTGGGTAATGAAATTTGTTCGTCTCGAAGGGGGACATCCAATGATATCAAACTCGACTTCCCACCCCACTCCCGGGGAGTGGGGGTGGGGGGCAACTTTAAAATCTTAAATGGGAACCCCCATTTTTTATTGCAGATTCGGATTCTACGCCACAAAATACGTAAGTTTTGTCCGAAACTTTCTTTTGATTCGTGATAGATGGCGCTGTAATCGCAAAAAATTAGATTTTCTGCAATTCTCCAGAAATGATTATTGGATTGAAAAATAAAAAAATACCTGTTCAATATTTTTGAAAATATTTTTAAAAAACATAATAACAGTTATTCCCCCCCATCCCCTCAGGGTAGGGTGGGTGGTAACGTTCAAATCTCAAATGAGAACCCACATTTTTCATTGCAGAATTAGATTTTAAAAGTAGTTTCTCGGAAAAATTCAACGCTATCTGTCACGAATGAAGAAAATTGTTTCCATAAAAACTTCACGTAAAATCTAATTCTGCAATGAAAAATGTGGGTTCTCATTTGAGATTTGAACGTTACCACCCACCCTACCCCGAGGAGATGGGGGGAATACCTGTTTAATATTTTTAAAAATATTTTTAAAAATATTGAACAGGTATTTTTTTATTTTTCAATCCAATAATCATTTCTGAAGAATTGCAGAAAATCTAATTTTTTGCGATTACAGCGCCATCTATCACGAACCAAAAAAAAAAGTTTCGGACGAAACTTATGTATTTTGTGGCGTAGAATCCGAATCTGCAGTAAAAAATGGGGGTTCCCATTTAAGATTTTAAAGTTGCCCCCCACCCCCACTCCCCGGGAGTGGGGTGGGAGGTCGAGTTTGATATCATTGGATGTCCCCCTTCGAGACGAACAAATTTTATTACCCACTTTTTTTGATCCGACATGTTTTCCAGATATTACGATTTGTCAGGTTAAATGGGACACCCTATATATTTAAACTGCGGATGAAATAGAGCGTGAAAATACTTTAGAGACTTTGATAATAACTAAATGTGCAACATACAGACGCGATTGCGGTATATACATTCGGGGAAGGCTGGATTCTCGGATGCGAGCCTTTGAAAAAGTCACTACTGACGTGAGTGTAATTTCATGGAAGGTGCAAAGTTATTCGATTAATCTCAATCGAAAAAGTCCTACTTCGAAACAATCTGATGTGGTGTAAATTTGATCATAAAAAATCCAATCTTATTCCAAAAGATCTTACTTCGAAATTCGTAGTTATATATCTGTGTTGTGTTGAGATTACTGACGTACTTCGATCCCTATTTAGTTTCGTGTCTCGCGTACACACGTGCTTTCAAAACGGCTCGTACATTTTTCTTCTTGACCGTCGGCCCGACGAAGGAATTTGTTTCTTATCAACGCTGCCAGGAATTCAGCTCTCTCATCGGGCCGCTGGCTGCGCTCCAACATCCCGCCTCGAGAGAAAAAAATTGTGCAAACCGTCTCGAAGCCGACTGTACATTTACATCCTCCAAGGATTCCTCGCTCGCGTGCGATTGCACCGGTTTTCTTTTCCGGAAGTAGTCTCGACACGCGACGCTCTTCGTAACGACCATTAAGTCAACATAGTCGCGCGTTGCGTTCTCATCGTCTCCCGAACTATCTTGATCTAATGCAGAAAATAGATATAGATTAAGCATGCTCTAGTGTGTTATCACGGATAAATCGACTGACCGATCATCGTTCGACATCTCGGTACGCCATTCGAAGCGATTCACATTGCACGAAGGGCCGACTTGCAATCAGACGTAATTACACGATCACAAAAATAGGCTCTGGAGTATTCTCCCGAGTGCGACGACACCTCTGTATATCCCGCGTAGTTTGATTTCGCACATTTCCTTGCCGACATACATTCACTGAAAAAGCGCGGATATATCCCAAATCTTAATAACGCGATCCTGTCCGATGGTCAGCAATCTTCGCCTGACGATGTCCAGGTCCATCCCGACAACGCTGTGCTTGGCATCGTGGAAAGACGCCAAGGACGATTGACTGAGTAGAAATAAGAAGTGATTGAATCAGGTGTGCCTCTGTAAGTTTGTGAGCGGGAACAAAATGTGCGAGAGACTTACTTTTCAGATTTCAGCTGTATATGACACTGGTCGCAGACTCTCACTTCGAATTCGAAGCCCATCGCCGGGATCGGTATTCGCTGCGATGTGCATCGGGCGCACAGCGCGCGTCCGCAATGGCGACAATGATGCTGTCTCAGTCCCAGTTGCCGTTGGTCCATCATCGCCTTTATGTTCCAGAAGAAGGGCCTCCCGCATGCCTAGGTTGCCACACATTTTAGAGAAACAGCATGGAACTTGCTTTTACAAAATGACAATCGCGCTAATGTGAGAACGCAGAGTGACCCATGCAAGTCTGGCTTAACAACTTGGTATCCCGAGAATTATGCGATCAATTTTAATCGCATTGGTCTTGAACTTCATGGGCTGCTTCAAGAAAACACAATGGTTGCATAACCGCTCGGTAAAAACCATCGTATTTTCTGAACGCAGCCATATTCAGGAATCTTTAAACCTGTGTCAAGATGTATTCTCATCCGTCCGTTTTGAAAGGTAGAGCAGAGGTAAATTTAAAATTCTAGATAAGTAAACTTTAGTAGGTGATGATACGTCACCATTAGTCTTTTCCTGAAACACTTTCTGGACTAAAAATATACACATGCTCCATAATTCAGGGGATTTGCTTGTACAAAAAAACATTGTTAAAAATGTCGAGCAAAATTTTCTCAGGATTTTTTGCTAGTCCAATTAAGTCTTATATGGATCACCCTATATACGACACTGTGAAAACTTTGAGTAAGGCATACTTGACAAGTGTCGGATTCAACCCAAGCTGCTGTCTCTTTTCTATTTGCTGCCATGTTCCAACAAACGATCACACCATCCTCGCCTCCAGATAAGAGCACACGCTCTGCACTTGCATAGCATAATGCCGTCACCTTGTTGCTAAGAAGATTTTAGATTGTATTTTCTAAGAGTAAAATTATTCAGAGGCTAAAATGAGTTCTCTTTATAAGCTTACTGGTGTCCTTGGAGCTCGTAAGCGGTGCCTTGGCGGCCTCCGATATCCCAGACGATAATGCTTCGGTCAAAGCTACCAGAGAACAACAGCTGTTTTTCGGAATCCCATGCCAGTGTATGAATACTTCCTCTATGCGCTTTTAACGTGGTAATAAAGGTAATGCTGTTATTGTCGAGTTTCAACATTGCTATCTGACCAGAGTAGTCCCCTACAAAGGCATGTTTTGATTGGGCATCGAATCTGCAGCGTCGAGTTAAGCTTCTATAGATGTTTCACAAGTTGCAAATATCCGAGTCATTTTGTTAAAGGATACTGTAGAGCGGTGTACCATGCATCTGTCTGGTATGAGCCCAACTTCTGTCCTGTCTCAGAACTATGTATTTGAAATAACTTATCGCGCCCTATACTTAAGATCCATTCGCAATCTGGTGCAAAAATTATCCCTGTTACTCTTGCTTGATGCGCCAAATATTCACGCATCGCCGTCATTCGATTATAATCTTGCTCCAGAATGAATTCCTGCAATTGTAAAGTCAAATTACATGTTCTAGTTAAATGTAATCTTAATGAACGTGCGAGTAATTTGACATACATTTATGCACCCATTATCTAAACCAACAAACAGTTGCCTGGTTTCTATACAATAGTGCATGGAGGTAGCACCTGCTGGCATGTATTGGCAAATGCTCGGCCAATAATGGCCAGAGTCACGTTTCAGCCATACTCTGATTGTCCTATAAAGATGTGGAAACAAAATAGGTAAGAAAATCATTGAAACTGAATCCTAATATTTAAAATATAGATTCTAATTTTTAACTATCCTGAGATATTGCAAACTTTTCAATCATATATCTGAATCTATTATTACATATCCTTAATTTCCAGTTTCTCTCGACGAAGAAGCTCATCGATTGATTATAATTTAAGAGCGAGATATTTTTAGAGTTTCGTCAGACACGCAGAGTCTATTAGTACGCCTTATTTGGTAATGATTATCAGGAAAACATGATTCTCATTAAACAGCAATTAAATTCATCTGCGTAGAGTGTTATTTTCGCAGTGTCGTAAGTACCGTGCAACGTTACGAGGGTAACGTTGCAGCACAGTGAGGTGTGTCCTTTCGGACGAAAGTTGCGCGCAGTTTCAACCGCGCGAACCTCGGTTGAACTGCGAGTCGATCGGGCGACGGGAACGGCATTGCGCCTCAAAGAAGAAGAAAACATAATCCTCCCGGAAGACCGATATCGACGAGCGCGAATACCTGTCATCGCAAACACTGATTACACCCTCTTCGCGCGGTATGATGATAGCCGCGTTGACGTCGTCACTACATCCTTCCAATTTCGACAGAAGGACCGGCTTACGGCTGTTGCTGAATTTATCGTGATTTACTCCCGGGGCGGGTTTTATCTCCGCTGCCATTTCTCAACCGCGCGAATGTAATCTCGCAAATGAGATTGTCATTTGACAGTTGTCGGTCTTCGATGTCGATCGTGGTTCACGCGCTACTCAAGACCGCACTTCCTACGTTTTTCCATCTCGCACTTCCTGCCTGCCGGAGAGATGGTGGCGAACCTATCAGCTGTTTCGTGTAACAGTGCGTGGTGCGCCGTTACGAGAGCGTTTCATGTGGAAGTGCGGGAATCTGGGCTAGTGACATTGCATCCACACGTTTCACTAAATGCACGTGGTTCCTGGCTCTCATATAACCTCTTTCAACCGGTATAAACTGCTGTAAGGCCATTGCACGTACAAAAGTTTTAGTCGTAACCGTAAGTCCGTAAGCAAATTGACCAATCACAATTCGTATATTTCGAGATGCTGGATTGTGATTGGTCAATTTGCTTACGGTCTTACGGTTACGACTAAAATTTTTTACGTGCAATGGCCTTTAGTCAAACCCGTGAATTTGGAGGGTAAAGTCATTAGGAGGCAAGGAGAAATAACCGTAAACTTGGTTCAACATTATAAAAATGGCACGGAAAAAAACGATAAAAAGGAAACACACTAATCCGGAAGAAGAAGAAAAAGAAAAAGGGAGAACTGAAAATGCTTACGTAGAACACAATGTCGAGGAGGTATTATCTTATTGTTGCATACACATGTTCTTACTGTTATCTACTTAATTTAAGCACATATTGTTGTTGTGCTGCTAGTAACGTAATAAAAAATACAAACTCATTGTTCCAATATTGTAGGATTCTGACACAGAAGACTTGTTAGCGGCTGAGGTAAACGATTATGAAGACTCTTCAGATGAAGCGATAGAGGAAGATGCAGATATACCTGATTCAGATACAGAAAAGGATCTTGTTGTTTTTACATCGAATGATGAAGACAGTGAACTCGAATTTGAATCAGATTATGAATCTACGGATGCTGAAGATTCAGAGAATATTACATCAGAGAGCAACTCTGATGAAGAAGCAAAAAAGATTCCACAGATCAAAGAGAGAGATAATAAAGAGAAATTAACAGACAATTCTGTCAAAAAGATATCAGTATCTAAAAGTAAGATATTAGCAAAAAAAGAAATCAAGTCAATAAGTAAATTAAGGGATAAAAAAGATCAAGGAGATTCTCAAGAGGTACAATCTAACAAAGCTAATTCATGCAATAATCAGGAAATTGAAAATGTATCCAATACGGAACATCAAGAAGAAGATGAATATGACTATGATAGTTCAGATGAGGAAGATATTCGCAACACAGTTGGAAATATTCCATTGAAGTGGTATGATGATTATGATCATGTTGGTTATGATTGGGAGGGTAAGAAGATCTTAAAACCTGAAAAGGGCGATGAATTGGACAATTTCTTGAAAAGAATGGAGGATCCCAACTTTTGGAGAACTATAAAGGACCCTCAAACTGGTCAAGATGTTGTGTTAAAAGAGGATGATATAGATTTGATAGTAAGGATACAAAAACAGAAGATACCTGATGTTAAGTTCGATGAATATGCAGTAAGTTGTATTTATATTTACTCAATTTGGAAATATTGTGGAAATACAAGAGTATTTGCTTTATGTGTGTCTCTGATTACAGCCATGGGTGGAATGGTTCAGTTCTGAAGTGATGAAAATGCCACTTCGTAAATTCCCTGAACACAAACGTTCCTTCCTGCCATCTAAAGACGAAGCGAGACAAGTCTCGAAACTGGTGCATGCTCTGAAAATGGGCTGGATGAAGTCCACCGCCGAAATGAAGAAAGAAAGAGAAGAAAAGAACAAGGGGCCAGAGTTCTACATGCTGTGGCAATCTGACGATCAGGCAGAAGAAATGCGTAGAATCCACAAACACATTCCAGCACCCAAGAGACATTTGCCCGGTCATGCAGAGAGTTACAATCCGCCACCGGAATATCTGTTTGACAACAGAGAGCTCAAAGAGTGGAGCAAGTTAAAGGCAACTCCGTGGAAGAGGAAATTGCACTTCATACCACAGAAATATAATTCTCTACGAGAAGTACCTGCATATCCCAAGTACATCAAAGAGAGGTTCCAGAGGTGTTTAGACTTGTACCTTTGTCCCAGAGCGTATAAAATGAGATTGACGATAAAGCCTGAGGAGTTGGTTCCACAATTGCCAGATCCAAAAGATCTGCGACCATTCCCGACCAAAATGTCCATGGTATTTAATGGTCACACGGATATGGTAAGAAGTATTACCACGGAAGCAATGGGTCAGTACATTGCGTCTGGTGGAGATGACATGTCCTTGAAAAGTAAGTTGCTTGATTCATAATATATAGAGTGAGGCACCTAAAATAGGCCACCAAAATAACTATGAGAATATGCAAGATAGAAAATAATGTTAACTATAGAAGTTGTAGGGTTTTAAGTGACACATTACATAGCAATATTAGTGTGACTTTGAACAGCATCATTGAAGTTATGAGAAGGTCACCTTGAATTTTTAAATGGAAATCTTCATTTTTTAATATCTTTTTCTATCAATTAATCTGAACAACTTTTACCTGAAACATTTTTTCATTTGCGTATTATTTTTTTAGATATTTATAAAAAATTCGATAACATTTAATATTTGGTTTACAATATTTCAGTAACTATTTGTTGGAAGAAAAAATGGTACTATACTTTTTTATTCTATTTGGTCTCAAGAATATGCTGTTATATATAAGAATAGTGCCTTAATTTTTGTTAATTTGATGACTGAAATTTCTAAAGGTCAACAAATTAATAAAAGTTAGGACATCTATTGTAACAGCATATCCTTGAGATTAAGTAGAATAAAAAAGTCTAGTTCCACCTTTTATTCCAACAAATACTTACTGAGATATCATAACTCAAATATTGAAAAAGTTGCAGACCAAAAGTTGTTCAAATTAATTGATAGAAAAATAAAAAATGAAGAGGTTTTTAAAAAAATTCAAGATGACCTTGCTATAACCTTGATAACGCTGTTCAAGGCCATACTAGTATTACTATGTGATATTTCTCTTTCTCACTTGAAGAACCCTACGACTTCTGTATTTAACATTCTTTTCTACCTTGCATATTTTCAAAGTTATTCAGGTGGCTTGTTTTAGATGCCTCACCCTGTATGTCCGTATAATATTAACTTAATCATCAATTGCACTCGCTTCAGTTTATCTCAACTTAAAAATTGCATCCTACGAACAAAAGATAATATTAATAATGTATCATTACAGTATGGGAAGTATCAACAGGCAGGTGCGTCAAAACAGTGCCTTGCGGTGGTGTTATTAGGAGCGTTGCTTGGTGCCCGAATCAAGCTGTATCGCTGATAGCCGTCGCAGCTGACAAGAAAGTTCTCCTGATAAATCCCGGACTCGGAGATCGTCTGATCACTAGCAAAACTGATGAGCTCCTGGAGATAATACCGCAGAGCGACATAATAGGTAATCGACGACTGACGGAGTTAGATGAACCGTTGCTAATCCGTTGTAGAAATAACTATAGACAGGATTAATATATTCTCTCACACCAGTAAGCGAAAGGGTGAAGGGCGCAGTACAGTGGGAACAAGCGGAGGGCGAACACTTCAACAACGGACTCAGGATGATCCTAAACCACTTCAACATCGTGAAGCAAGTAACGTGGCACGGGAAAGGAGATTACTTCGCTACTGTCATGCCGGACGGTCAAAATCGATCTGTTCTCATAAATCAATTGTCGAAACGGAGGTCTCAGTTGCCCTTTACCAAGTCGAAAGGATTGATACAATGTGTTTTGTTTCATCCGATTAGACCGCATTTATTCGTCGCAGTAAGTATCAGTAACAGAAACACGTGACAGAAATGTTCATGCTCATTCGTTTTACATATACGTTGTCTTCTTCAGACGCAGAGGAATGTCAGGGTATACGATTTGGTGAAGCAGGAGATGATCAAGAAGTTGCTGTCCAATTCACAGTGGATCTCCACGATGGCTATCCATCCCGGTAAGCTAAACGCGCATACGAATTACGTTCACGGTGTTATATCATTGTGGCTTTCTTTTAGGAGGCGACAATGTGCTGGTGGCGACTTACGATCGCAAGATGCTTTGGTTCGACCTGGATCTAAGTACTAAGCCCTACCAGACGCTGCGACTGCACGGGACAGGCGTGCGCGGTGTGGCGTTCCACAAACGGTATCCCCTGTTCACTTCCGGTGCAGATGACAGAGGACTCATTGTATCTCACGGGATGGTCTATCAGTAAGGCAATTTGTGCAGAGTCTTTTTGAATATCGTTTGTTTCGTCGTTGTGCACCGCCGCGATAATGTTTGCGCATCTTTCCAGCGATCTCCTGCAAAATCCGCTGATCGTGCCGCTGAAGAGGTTCTGCAACCACGAAGCGTACAACGATTTTGGTATCTTGGACGTCATGTTCCACCCGACTCAACCGTGGGTGTTCTCTGCGGGCGCAGATTCTACCATAAGAATGTATACATAGACACTTCGACGTCGACGAACTCGTCACTACGAGGAGCTGTGCAGTTGTAATTTTAAAATGACACGTAGCTTCATACGTGAAATATACGCACGTTGGTTTTTTACTCACCGCGTCTTTATTCGACTCGTCAATTTTACCCGATCTAGATTGTAATCGCACATAAAGACAAAATATAGGAACTTGTATACTCGCGTCGAAGTGATACTTATGTGTAAAACATAAAAAGTTACCTTTATCCTACTAAGACATGCGAGGTACGGCTGTGTTAAATTACCGGATCTTCGTTCTAACGTAACTTCATTAAAATATCACATAATCCAACTTTTGCTTTCTTCAAGGTAGTCCCCTTCTTCGTTTACACGTCGTTGCAGTAGGATTTTCTATTGTTCTAAGCAGTGCCGCGAGTCCACTCTCCTGTTAAGCCTTGTGGCAACTCCGTCGTCTTTGCGCGACTCCGCAGACTCGAAGCGAATCCCCTCAGCGTGCTCTTCAGTTTTGGGAATAAAAGAATCACAGGATGCCAAATCGGAATAGGATGATTGGGTGTTCCAGCACTAGTATGTTTTCCAGCCGAAGCCCGCTTCACAGACGGTACAGAGTATTATCTTCACGAAGCATACGAATCTACAAGAATTATGCTCGACTGTCAAGTAGTCAGCTCAGCAGTCTGAAAGTGGACTGGGTTCGTCGCGCGAGTGTCAAGCTGCTTGCCCCCTCCGAGGCCGCTTCAACTCTTCTTCGTTAGTTCTCAGCACGCGCGATCCGCTTGTTCAATCCAACCACATCTCGCATATCTGCGCGTGGAGAGAGCTGCAACCACGGAAGATGATACCTACAGCTATTCCACTGCATGCTATCAGCTACAGTGGCTCGTCGCTTCCGCTCACTGCACGTTCCCGAGAGAGTATGCTTTCGCACTCAACTCCCAGGGAGAAGTTCTTGCAGCGTGTATGTACATTAAGATATCGAGGAGTGCCCCAAGCATTGCCACTCGGGCTCCCCGCAGTCGCAAGTACGGCCTGCGTGCCGCACTTGGAACACGGTGACGACACCTCTGGTGTCGTCGAACCTACACGTGATATGCAAGTCGTGTATAAGGAAAGTGTAGAACTGGCTGCCCCACCTCTGCCGTAGGTACACCGACCTGGGGTCCTCCCTGAGCACGTTCTCTATCGCTTGCTTCTGCTCGTCGACCTTGTCGTCCAGAATCTCGCTCAGCTGCATCAGGGCGCGCTCGTTGAAGATCACCGACAACGTCGCCGTGCGAGGCTGCGATATCCAGTCCGGCACGCGGATTTCCGAGAAGTTGCTCTCCGTCATTGCGTTCGCCTGCCCGGCCGGCACGCTCGCGGCCGCGTGGATGTTCGGCAAGGTTTGCGACGGTGTCAGAGCCTGGGACTCGAGCCCTTCCTCCCCGTCTGGCGCCTCGCGTATCCCCATCCTCACAGGGGAGTTGTCGACCCTCGCGTGCAGCACGTGACGGTTCACCAAGTCCACGTCGGTGCCGCAGACTGTGCTCGGCCCGTCCGCTCCGTCCAGCAGTCTGGAGTTGCGGGAGATTTGATTTCCCGTGTAATTGATCTCGTTGTCGCGCTCTCTCTGCGTGCGCGCCGCTTCTGGATTGCTCATGTCTACGTCCTGCAGTCTGCTATTCAAATCTCTGATCGAGTCCGCCAGGGTCGCTTCGGTCGCTGAGGTTGTACTGTGGTCGGTGGACGAATCTACTTCTGTCGTTGCGTTGGGCGACCTACTCTGAGCGCGGTATGATCCTCTGTGTGAGATATCTACATTCTGCAACAAAGTGACTGCATTAACACGGTTTTCCGTCAACTGGCCAGGTTGCCTGGTGATGTCGTAGCTGCCGAGATTCGGGTAACCCTCGTACTCCTCCACTTGCAGCCTCAAGGCTATCTCCTCGTCTCTGGAAACGTCAACAGGCTCGACTTGTTCGTCGTTATTGACGTCTACATCGTCGGTGGCGGAGTCGATCGACTGGCTCTCACTTGAATTGAGGATCTCCTCCATATTGTGAAGCATATCTGAGGCATTCGCGTTGTTCTCCCTTAGTCTGTTACTCAACTTCTCAATGTGAAGTGGGCTGTCATACTGCGGTATGTAAGGCTTTATATCGAGAACGGGGGTTTGATTCACCATGTCGACACCTTCGAAATATATCGTGTGATTTTCAATCTTCAGAATCTTAACTAGACTCAACCCGATCGGACAAGGCCGGTGCGGAGAACGCGTAGAGAATACGCCTGTTCTCACTCCGTTCAATCTCGGCGGTGCTACTTTTGCACGAGTGTGCGTGGAATCGTTTCTGTGAAAGTGGAATAAAATCCTGTTGGGAGAAGAAAGCAGAGTGTTAGCTTTCTATCGTCTCATCGCTCTAAATTGTTTTAAAGTTATTATACTTTACCACATATGAGAAAAGTCCTGTAAGCCTTGTAAGGCATGATCCGGATTCGTAAATACAGAATTATAGAGCGTTAGCTTCCCAGGAACCTTTCCGCAAATTCCAGGTTGCCGCGGAGTGGCTCTTTTGTTAGGGAACCAAGTGGAAATCACACCAATAGGCTTCAACTTAAGAATCTCTTGTTCTTTACTTGTGCTAGGTTTGGCTTGCTCCGAAGATATCAATTTAGACTGCGGAATAGTTTCCCCATGCTGTTGCAATTCCAAGAGACGTTTGATATTGTCGACATCCTTATCCAGTATATACCTCAGACTTTTCACCTGTTGTCTGCAATAACGAACCAACTCTTGCAATTTCTCAAGCAATCCTATCATACAACTTTTACACATTTTGATGGAAAAAAAAGAACCAAAGGTTCGTTTGTTATCGTTGAATTGGTGTACACTTCTAGAATTTAAAGAAATACATAGGTATACAGTCGAGACTTGTTGGGAAAAAAGAAAATTAGTGCAGCTAGTTCAGCAACAGGAAACAAACCTCAAGCTGCGAGATACACGGCTAAGGAAGCGAATAACATTCGTCAATGAAATACCTCAAATTATTGATCTCCCGCCTCGCTGTGTTTAACTGACCGAGCAAGTGTTTAGCGTTCAACGTAGAATTCTGACAATTCGAGTCCATGCTCGCCGTTGCCAACATTTACTCGTCCACAGCTACCTGTTCGTCACCTTCTCGTCGGACGGACTCGAATCCCTGGGTCTTCTTTATAGCTGCACTGCTGAACTGGTGCAGTAAGTTAAAATGAGACAACTATATTTTTTCTCACTCAAACTTATTGCACTAGTTCAGCAGTGCAGCTATAAAGAACAAACCCCCTGTCAGACCGCCGCAACAACAGCGCAATCTGCGCGTCGGACGCGAAACCAATACCCCGCGCAACTCGCAACGTCACCGCTTGTGGCGTAACTGCGGCTTGTGTCGTTACTCGTCAGTGACGTCAGAAGGTTTGTTCGTGTCGCATGTTCTAAGTTCTAGGGTTTGTTTTCTATTGCTGAACTGGCTGTACTAACTTAAGCCAGCGGCACACGATGCTTGTTTTCGTGCTGGATTGCTTGCTGGATGAAAATACTGCGTTCTGATTGGTGCATTTCCATCTATCTTTGAAAATATACCAATCACAACGCAATATTTTCATCCAGCAAGCAATCCAGCACGAAAACAAGCACCGTGTGCCGCTGGCTTTACACTTGTTCTCTTCTCTCCCTTTCACTAACTCCTACATGTATATCTATTTCTCTTTATGTTCTCTGAGTGTACGGTCGCGGACATAAAGGTTGTCACTTTTTTTTTAATGACTTTCGGGACGCATCGAGAAAGATGAGAGTTGCTGCTCCGCCTGCGGAGCACGCCTGCGCAGTAATTCACAACGAAAGGCGAGAAATGAAATATACGTGGTATGACATAAGTATGTCAACAATTATTGCGTTTAGCGGAGAAAACCGCTCAATGAGCGATTAGTGACTATTGGTCCTTACTGTTAGATCCTTACATTCAGACCGATAACGTTGACGAATTATTCCACAGTTGCTCAACCGTTGAGTGTCGTGAACGCACCTAATTCTTACATTTTGAAAAATCAGCAGTGGAGGGATAAATACATAGTGTAAGTCATTCAAATAGGAATGCGTCTTTTGCAAGGTATTGAACAGGTATGTATATTAAATTTTAAGTGAAATCGTATTTATTTAGTCACTAATCGCTCACTGAGCGGTTTTCTTCGCTGAACGCAATGATTGTTGACATACTTATGTCATACTACGTATATTTCATTTCTCGCCTTTCGTTGTGAGTTACTGCGTAGGCGTGCTCCGCAGGCGGAGCAGCAGCTCTCATCTTTCTCGAGTCGGGATGCGTCCCGAAAGTCATAAAAAGAAGTGACAACCTTTATGTCCACGACTGTACAGAAAACATGTAATCGTTTTCAAAATACAGGATGCGTCAAGGATCAGTAAAGACCGGGTAGGCCGAAGATCGCTACAAATGAAGACATCTCGATAGAAATATTACAATCATTTGTAGAAGATCCCCATACCTCTACACGAAAAACTGCCCAGGCTCATAAAGCTATAGCTATAAAGCTATGTAGCGGCTTTATAGCTGTAGCTATAAAGTCGCGAAATTTCAATTTGTAATTTCTTTCAAATGCTTGAGTGTTGCATCGTCTCCAGTTAACAGTAACTTTTGCTAAACCTATATTACATTTCTGCCAAAGCTCGTCAAAATCAGTGACCCCAAGTTTGGCAGTAGCCCTTGTCAGATTTTAGTCCAGAAAGAATTAGCCTCGCTCTCGCGTCGCTGAGCGAGAACGAGAGCGAGAAAGAGGGAAAGATATTCTCGCTCGCGTCGCTAAGCGAACACGAGAGCGAGAAGGAGGGAATTATATCTCTCTGTCGCTTGGTGCGCCGACGATTGCCGAGCGTATGGTCCGCATGGATAAACTGAGGCCTTGTCTACAATACGTGTTGTAAGTTGTAAGCCGTAAGAACTGACCAATTATAGCCGATTGTTTTTGTAATAATCGACTGTGATTCGCCAATTCTTACGGCTTACAACTTACGACACGTATTGTAGACCAGGCCTGAGCCGGCTATGGTGCGTGCGTGATGGGGGAAATCAGAAAAGAGTCGTGGACATTGGCATCGTAGTTCATGTGCACGGTTCTACAGAAGGCGCCTCACACTAGGTTCAACTAGAAGCGGCCTATGACACTTCTCCTTCTTCTCTCTATTTTTTGGTGATGAACAGTTGGATAGGTTGGACGCGCATGCGCAATGATTTCGGCATTAAGAATCTAGAACGAGTAAAGTAGGGTGCTATTATTCTGGGACTTAGTTAAAAATTATTATATATATAAATAATTATAAAATTTTAAATTATAATAATAAATAAATATAATTAAAACAGTTATATAATTAAAATAATAATAATAATAAATTAAAATAATAATAATTAAAAATGTAATGCAATCAAAAGATTGATTTCAAAAGGCGCGAAAACGCGCTAAAGAGATGTCCACTGACTGCAATACATTTTGGTCAGGTGGAATTTTTTAAACGTGACCCTAATTTTTTATTACATATTTTTATAGAGCTTGTTGAGACGTTTTCAGAGTACTATAATAAAGCTTTTTCGGTTAAGAATTTCCTAAGATATTTTAAAATACACCATCAACTTTTTAATGTAAAATAAGATATCTGGTAAAGTAAAGGAGGATGATCCAGCCATTGACTAGCATACTGTCAAACTGTAAATGGTGAGCACTCTGAAAGTTTGTTATAAACTTGTTTTATGAAAAGGTAGATCCTTTCTCGATTTTGCTTCAGATGGCCAAAACAAATCTCTGAAGAATCATATTTAAAAAAATTCTAGTCCTTAACCTTGTCCTGATCTTGGCGACGCCATCCAAGATCAAACTGGTAAGATCAGTAAACAAATCTTTTTAAACCCCACAATTTTTATTCGAAGCACTTTTCTGTAAAACTTATATTTTTCGAGATGTTTCAGAGTTTCCATATTTTTTCCTCACCCTGTATATATATATTTTTTTTATACATGTGTATATATATCCATGATTTACGACTTTATTATTGATCACAATGATTACGATCGTGAAAACTTTATTTTAAATTAATGCTGCGTAAATTAACATATCGCAGGCATACATATTTAACATACCTCACGTGCGCATATTTACTGTACACTACTGGACCTTCGCTTCGTTTACGCGCATGCGCGTCCAGCTTGTCCAACTTTCATCACTACCGCTCACTCTTCCAACGACTCAGTTGCCTGCGGTCGTTCAAATTGATTGGATGTTGATCGGCGTATATCGATGCTTCACCGTCCGTAGTGGAACGCGTTCGTCTCCCTCCCCGTGGCAGCTACAATCGGCCGTCGCTTCGACGTTGCGCAGTAGCGGCGTTTCCGATTTCCTGCGCGATTCGACGCGACGATTTCGCCGCCGCGCGCTCCAGCGGCCGCATTCGGGCCGTGTCAATCCGCCGCCGTCGCGATGGATGGCTGACACTGAGGAGGATTTGCGCTGCAAGTCGGTCCCGCACACTTCCGGCTGCAAAGGCCGCTGCCGATCAATCAGCACCGACAGTGTCATCGTCGGCGGCGCGCGTAAGTATCGCCTCGATCGCGCGATTTCGTGAAGTCGTTCGTCACGCCGTCGTCAGATTTTCTCGTCGCGCAATTTTGTAGACGATGGACGTTTCTTCCGGATTTTCCCCCTGCCTTTATCTCTCTTTCCTGTTATCTCTCTTCGCCTTCTCTCTCTCTCTCTCTCTCTCTCTCTCTCTCCTCTCCTCTCTCTCTCTCTCTCTCTCTCTCTCTCTCTTTCTTTCTCTCTGTCTACCTACCTACCTACCTACCTACCTACCTACCTACCTCTATTTCACTCCAGCCCCGCGAAGTCGGCTGCTCACGGATATGTAAGTTTAATCGGGCTGCTCTCTCTGTTTTTCTTTCTTCCCTTTTTTTCATAGCGCGCTCATACTTTTACGTATCCTTATTTGCAGCGCGTATCTTGCGCTGATAAGTGCACGCACCTGTGCAGCTTTGATCTTCACGTGTCGATGTGAAGAAATCTCCCGTGTTTTTTATCTTCTATACATTTCAGATAAGACGCACCGCGCCGCGCGTATCTACGCGGTAGCGTCGAAAAGGCACTTTTCCGCGCGACGCGGAAAGGGTATTTTGCTCGTCGTCGGCGAGGTTGCCTCCCCCCGGTATCTGCCGTGTTGATCTAACGTCACTCGTCGATAACGCAAGATCACCCGCAATTACCGTGATTCCTCGGCCATTGCGCGAAACGCGAACGAGGAGAAACGTGTGAGAGCAGGTGGAGCCGTCTCGCTTCCCTGTTCGCTCCGTCGAGTATATTCGTGCTGTTCTTTTTTTCTCTGGACGACGCACTCGCGCAACGCGCCCCGACGGGAGTATCGCGCTATCGCGTGATTACTCCGATAATTGCGTCTCGCGCGCGGCAGGGACGAACGCGACTCGTTGCGCCGCGTTGAAAATAGCTCGCCGATATTGCCGTGAAATTATTCTTTCCGCCGCGACCTCGCATCACTCTCATTCCGTTTATCTTGCGCCGTCGCCGGATAAAAAACGTCGCACTTGCCCGATCACGGCGAGCCGAAGATTCCTCATGCTTTTCCCCTCTCCGAGTGTTTATCTTTCTTTCTCTGTATCGAAACAATAGTAATTAAATTATAACTGACATTATTGATACTATGATTAATTAGGAAGAAAGAATTATAATTTATATAATACCAATATTATTGAAAACATTAGAAAGAAATTCATTAGTAAGGAAGAATTATAATTAATAATATATATTAGTAATAAATGTAATATTAATATTAAGAACATCGGGACGATCATATCGGGACCCATATAGGACAAAAAGTTGCAGCAACATTACTGCAACGTCGCTGTAATATTGCAACATTGCAGCAATATTGCTGCAGTTTTCTGTACTGTATGGAAGTGGAATTTGTTTAGTAGTTCGCTGTTAACGCAGCGATGCTAATATATCAATACGATAGTTAGCACTTTTTATAACACATTTTTACTTTCGAGCACTTCGAAATGTTTTTCGAGGTCCTTTTGAGTATTTAATCAGACATATTTCCTCATTATCTTTAAATTTGAGCGTATTATCACACGAATATATGTACAGTTAAGTATTTTGTTCGTCACTTGACACTTTATTCGGCTGCGCATCTTTCAAGTTGTGCAAAGTTAAATAAAACAGCTGACATCTTGCTAATGTGGCCCCCCCATAAGAGTGCTGATAAATACTGTCTCTCTTTCAAGGTTTTTATGCCAAAGTAATTATCCGATAAGTCGATTCTAATTTGTAGTCCATTGTTGCACTTTTATGTTTGCACCACACTGCTGTCTTTCTGGCAGATTGTATTTCCTATCAAGCAAATCAATATCCACATTAAAAATTTGTAATTATCTTCATTATTATTCCCCTTCTAAGAGTTTAATTTGAATAAATATTGGGTGAGTGCAAAAGTTCGTGCGGAGTTTGTGAGTAAAAGTCACACAGTGATTAGGCAAACAAAAATCTTTATTCAATCAATGATATATTTTCCATCGTTTTCTATAATCTTTTCCCAACGTTCTGGCAGCATACGGATGCCTCGATCATAAAAACTGCGCAGTTTAGATTCGAAGAACGAAGAGACGCCGTTTTTTAAGGCCTTCAAAGAGTCAAAGTTTTTTCCATTTAAATAATTTTGCAATGACCGGAACAAGTGATAGTCAGATGGTGCGATATCAGGAGAATACGGTGGATGCGTTAAGATCCCATCCCATTTCAGGCTCTTCAGTTTGCGCAGCGTCTTTTTCGAAACGTGTGGTCTGGCGTTGTCGTGATGAAAGACGACTCCCTTGCGATTTGACAAAATCGGACGTTTCTCTTTTATTTCTCGATTCAGATTGGTTAATTGGCGACAGTACTTGTCCGAATCAATCGTTTCGCCAGCGGGGAGAAGCTCGAAATAGATTATACCTTGCAATCCCACCAAACAGAGAGCATCACCTTCATCGGGTGCAAACTGGCCTTTGGCATTGCGTCACCATGCTCACCTGATTGTTTCCATGTCCGTTTGCGCTGAACATTGTTGTAGAGGACCCATTTCTCATCGCCCGTCACTAGTCGATCCAAAAACGACTCGTTATTGAGCCGCCCGAGTAAAGAAACGGCTGCAAAAATTCGCTTGATTTTGTTCTTCTCGGTCAGCAAATGGGGCACCCATATATCGAGCTTCAAATCGAATCCCATCTTTTTTAAACGCCGAAAAGCGGTTGATCGGTCAACGTTTAGTGCTGTAGCAACTTCTTCTGTTGAAATTCGCGGATTATTGAGCACTAAAGTACGCAAAAGATCGTTATCAATGTCAGAAGGTCGACCAGAGCGTGGCTCGTCTTCAAGGTTAAATTCTCCGCGCCGAAATTTAGCAAACCATTTTTCCACAGTTCGTTTAGCTGGTGCTTCATCCTGATAAACATCCTGAATGTTTTTTACGGCTGCGGCAACGTTTATTCCCTTCCGAAACTCGTAAAGCATAACATGCCGTAAATGCACCTTATCGATACTCATTTTTAAAGTGATATTTCTCGAAGCAGTTTGTATGAAAACAAATGATTTTTTTTTTAATAACAGCTGAAGACGTCACCTTTCCAACGTTATATAATATGTAGATGGAAGTATTAATGACAACACTTTACGACGCTTATAACTCCATCTATTGAAACTCCGCACGAACTTTTGCACTCACCCAATATATAATTTCGTGACTCAACACTTTGTGTTATTTTGAACAAAATCAATTTTTTGTATTAGTTTCGGTGGAAAACCACATTACTTCATTTTTATCGCCGATCCATTATGCTGTGTTGCCACATTTTTATAAATAACATCCTAAATAACATTACGTAAATTTGAATTTATAATCAATTAAACAGCATTATGATAAGTATAATCATTCAGTTCTCACTTTAAAATATTGATTATTGACAAAGTTATTGTACAAAATGTGAATGGAAGGCCATAATATCACTTTCTCCTCTACGACATTTAAACGTTCAACTATGAGATTCTGGAAGTATTTATTAAAATTCCGCAGTATTAGAAAATGCGCATGATGAATGAAATTGTGAAGTCTGCACTTTTCTTTCGACTTTGGCGATATTGTTTATTTTACTGCAAGTATCTCTTCGAGTCGACTCCAAGTGTTCTCCATATTTTTCTTTTCAGAACGTCCGCCATCTTTTTTTAGTTTAAAAGAAATAATAGCGGCATAATAGGAAAAAAATTCATTCATATTATATTAATTATTTTGATATTATATCTGATTTATTATGTTTATTATATTAGTGTTTAAGGCACGTTGAATGTTTGCCATCTTCTTTTCTCGGTATTGAAAGAAACGGGACAGTTTGATAGGAAAAAAATTCACTCATTATATTATATTAATTATTTGGTATTATATTGGATTTATTATTAGGTGCGCAACTAAGTTCTCGCTGTTTTTTTGATGAAAATGCAACTTTATTGTGAAAAAATGGTTACAAATGAATCATTCAAAATATTGCCCATCGCTAGCGACAACTTTTTCCCATCTTTCTGGCAGAGCTCGAATACCGTCACGGTAGAAGTGTTCGTCTTTTGAGGCTATCTACGAATCAAGCCATTTTGAGATGTCTTCATATGAGCGGAACTGCTGATTAGCCAAACCATGTGCCATCGAACGGAACAAGTAATAATCGGACGGCGCAATATCTGGGGAATATGGCGGGTGGGGTAGGACTTCCCATTTGAGCGTTTCTAAGTAGGTTTTAACGGGTTTGGCAACGTGAGGCCGAGCGTTGTCATGCTGTAGAATCACTTTTTCGTGCCTCTGCTCGTATTGTGGCCGCTTTTCGCGCAGTGCTCGGCTCAATCGCATCAATTGAGTTCGATACCGTTCCCCATGATGGTTTCGTTCGGTTTCAACAGCTCATAATAAATAACACCGCCCCGGTCCCACCAAATACACAGCAAAACCTTCGCAGCGTGAATATTCGGCCTAGCCGACGACGTAGAAGCATGACCGGGCAGTCCCCATGATTTTGTTCTCTTTGGGTTGCTGTAACGAATCCATTTTTCATCACCCGTAACGATGCGATGAAGAAAACCCTTCCTTTTTTGCCGCTGGAGCAGTTGTTCACAGGCGAAAAAACGACGCTCAACGTCTCTTGGCTTCAAATCATAAGGAACCCAAGTTCCTTGTTTTTGAATCATTCCCAACGCATGCAATCGCTTGGAAATGGCTTGGCGGGTAACTCCTAATGCTGAAGCAAGCTCTTTTTGCGTTTGGCACGGATCCTCATCGAGCAATGCCTCCAATTCAGCGTCTTCGAAGGTTTTTGACCTTCCTTCACGCGAACAGTCGTCAATATCGAAATCACCGTCTTTGAAGCGACGGAACCAATCACGGCACGTTGTTTCACTTGTAATAGTGAAACTTAATAGTAAAAGAGCAGCATCTCCGTAAATCTTTTGGAGTTCTCGATGCGCTTCAGCCGCCGTTTTCTTCGAATGAAAGAAGAAAAGCAAC